CCCCCCCCCCCAAATTTTTTTTCGGGTAAGTTGACAACTCGCGAACCAGAAAAGCTAGAAAGCTGAAATTTTAAAGGGATATTCCCCACCCAAGTAGATATTAATGAGCTAAAACTCAGCCCCCGGGTAAGTGTGGTACCCATGTACGGGCCCGCCAAAATTTTTTCCGGGTAAGTTCATAACTTGGGGATCTGAGTTGCTAAAAAGCTGAAATTTTAAGGGGATGTTCCCATCCAAGTAGGTATTAATGAGCACAAGCCCAGCCAGCGGGTAAGCGTGGTACCTGCGCACGAGCCCGCCAAAATTTTTTTCGGGTAAGTTGACAACTCTCAAACCAGAAGAGCTAGAAGGCTAAAATTTTAAGGAAATATTCTTTGTCCACATACAACCTATAGATTTCACAGCTCCTAGGTGTGCATTTTATTGCGTACGGACGCATAAAAGTTTTGGCGAGAAAATGGCTAAGTCTGGAACCAAAACAGCTAGATCATTTCCAGTGAACGACCGTTCAGCAAAAATTATTCATTTTCCTTTGAGTAAAATTTACGGTGATTTATGGCAACGAGTGTAGGTGTTAAATGCAAAGCAACAACCGTTCGTACAATTAGCGACTTGACTGCCTCAAGCTTAACGTAAAAAAGCATGAGCGCATCGGCGTATCTGGTGCGTTCGAGCCTGAGTTGCATGTGGTATTCCTGCTCATGTTCTGTTGGATTACAGTTAATCATTTTGCTAAAACATTCCAGGTTACGGTGATATTGTACCAAACACATATTGTGGTCGAACACTAGCGATAACAACTGGTATTGTGGTATGAATTTGTGGGTGTATTATGTGTTTTGTTGTATGTATGCAAATGCAAGAACGCATATTGTGACGGCTCCTGGTGTGCGTATATGCGTGTATGCTTGCGTGTGTCTGTGTATGCGTGTGTGCGTGTCTGACCCGATACTTCAGTACGGCAGTCAAGCAAGCTTCAGTGCCGAGATTTTGCCAGTGATTTCTCAGCCAGTTGCCACCTCGAGACCGCAGTACAAACCTTTACGCGCGCCTGAGCCCCGATTATGCACGTGAAACTTTTGGCGAATTGAAACTTTGTGAAATGTGTGTGTGTGTGTGTGTGTGTGTGTGTGTGTGTGCTCTTGTTGGGGAATGTATGAGAACTGAAATGTGGGACCGTAGTGTACTTTAGAACTTTATGCGAACTTCGCAGTTATGACAATAATACAAATCTCAGATGCAGATACACAACGACGACTTATATCAATCTGTTAAGGGGATAAAACGATTGACTCTGCCCAACCACGCATAAAAAGTTCCCCGGGAGGAGATACCAGTAAGATGAAACGACGAAGCTAATGAAGATGAGAGACGAGTGAAGAGTGGGGACCTCGATCCCGAAAAATTGGTTTCCTTTTACCTTTCTTTCTATTTTTTTGACTTTTCTTATAAAACATATTTCGCTTTATCCAAACAACCTAAGCATTTCAAATTCAGCCTCCGTGTGCGCGTGATATTCACGTACGGGTACGTTATAGCTCTGGCGGGAAAAATGCTAGCTTTGGGACCGAAGAAGCTGGGAAGCTGAAATGGGACCGGAAAAGCTGGAAGAAAAAAACACCTCGAAATTACAAATTTTCACAATACTTGGCACTATTCACAAGGCAGGAGGCTGGAATTATTCATTCTGAAATTGGTCCTTTTAGTTGATACTTGCAGCTCTATCTTTGTTAGAAAGCTGTAGCTGCTTGCAATTAAAGAAAAATGCAGCAGTGAAGGGCAACGGGCGAGTGATGCAGGAAGGGAAGGGAAGAACCATGTACAAGCCCAGCGACGTTTGCGGAAATTGTGTGTGAAGGTTTTTACTTTACTTTCCCTCTTGCGTTGCAGTTTTGCTCTGCAAGGCTTTCCAGTGCGTAAGTAAAACTTCGGATAAAAAAAAATTACTTTACTGCGTGCCACCACTAATATGAATTATTCTGTGGGTTGCCCAAACTGTGGTTCCGCTCTGTGATCTGGTGCACAACCAGTAACTCGTCAAATGTTTGTCCGGTCGATTCCTTGTCTGTGAAAACCTTTAACAAATGCGCTACTGCATTTCACTGCATTAATTAAGGGCGCTGGAGTGTCTTCGGCATTAATAGCTGTGATTTCTCGGAAGCTAGAATTGAGCCGAGCCGAAAAGCATGTTAACAATTTTATGGCTGATTCCAAGCTTACCAACCAGCGGAAAAATGCTGCTGCTTTGGTTCTCCAACAAACTTGGTAAGTTCATTGCTTATTTCTGTATGAAATTCTTTGGGAATTCATTTAAAAATTGTTCATATTTTTATGAATTTAAAGCAATAATAAACCTAGGCTGGAACGCACCAGGCTTGCCAGTGTGATCGTGCGTTTTTGCACTAAACTCCCAGGTCGCTAATAGCAGGAATGATCCCTGCACTGTAGCCTAACATTTGGGTATTTCTTGTGCATGTATTAGCTAAAGATTTCAAATTCAGTCCCTAGATATGCGTGGTGCTCACGTAAGGGCGTATGAAAGTTTTGGTAGGACAATTGCTAACTCAGGAAGCAGGAAAGCTAAAGAGTTGAAATTTTTGGTTAACGTACTCTATCCAGATACACCTCAAATATTTCAAATTCAGCCTCAAGCTACGTGTGATACTCGCGTAGGGGCATATGAAAGTTTCTGCGGTAAAATTACTAACTCGGGAGCCAGAAAAGCTAGAAGGCTGAAATCTTAGGAGGTATTTCAAATTGTCCGAGTACAACTTAAGTATTTCAAATTCAGCCTTGAGGTATGCCTAGATCTTATGTACGTCCACTTAAAAGTTTTGGCAGGAAATTTTCTTATTGAACAACTAGGTTACTTTTAAAGAACGACCGTTAAGTGGAAGTTGTACATTTACTTTAGGCAAGATTTATGGTAATTTATGCTAATGACCGCAAAAGGTAGGTGTAAAGCAGCAACCGTTCATTCAGTTAATGACCTGAGTACTTCAAGTCCGATGTAAAAACACATAATCGCACGGGCCCGCCCGGTGCCTTCCAGCCTGGGTTAATTAAAATATATAGCGGCGCACACCACGGCAGCCGGTGCGACAATAAGTTTTGCGCAGTTTCTTCCTGCTGTTAAGAATTTTCACTGTTTTACACTTTGGTATGTGCAAAAATAGTCGATTTTTGTCCGGTTCCTAAGTTCCGAAATTTCCCGCTAAAAATTTCACATATCGCTACGTATAGCGTAAGTGTATGAGATAGTTGAAGCTGAAATTTTTGGACCGTTCATGAATGGGGGACACCCTTCCAAAATTTCAGCTTCCTGATTTTCTGACTTCTGAGCCAGTGGCTTTTGCACCAAAACTTTCACGTGGCTGAACGTGAGGCCTAAGCATAGTTGTTGGCTAAATTTGATTTGGTGAAGCCTTTTAATAATGAAAATTGTTTTAAAATTTTAGCTTTCCAGCTTTTATGTTTCCCAATACAGCAGTCTTTTCCGCCAAAACTTTCACGTGACCGTACTTGAGATTCAGGCGCATGTGAAAGTTAATTTTGAATTTATGGAATTGCACGTGGATGAATTTTAGTTTACTAGCTTTTGTGATTTCCGAGATAATTTTCCCTGCCAAAACTTTCACGGTGTCGTACGTGAGATCCAGGCGTACATGAAGTTGAATTTGATGGGTCGTACGTGGGCAGAGGATATTACTCTAAGATTTCAGCTTTTTTGCCTTACCGATTCCTGAAATAAAAACTCGGGACAAAACGGCTTGGATACACATACACACAAAAAGGCGTGGCAATGTGCGTTATGTACAACTGTTCCAGCACAAAACGCATAAAAAGTCGTAGATATATGAATGCTAATAATTTCTAGGTTCATCCACAAGTACAAGAATTCGTGCAACAAGGGCGATGAGTTGCGGTTGAGGCATCATCAGAGGCGTTTTTTGCAAGCCATTAACGAATTTCGACGGATCAAGTGGGACCAGCGAAAACTTCAGGAACGAGGCAATTCACTGCTAGATGTTGGAAAGGTTAGGTAGTCAATAATACAATCTGGCATAAATCATCGTTGGACCGAAGGCACTATGCTAAAATAAATAGCGGTCAAAATACAACCCAAGGCTGGAACGCACCAGGCGAGCCGGTGCGATCATGCGTTTTTGCACAGTTTCTTGCGGATCCTCTTTCTCATCCTTTCTGTTCTTCACCGCTCCCTCTCCCCTCCAAATGTCGTTAGTTACTCAATCGACTAAGGAGTCGGCCGTGTTTCCGGAGTCGACCATGGGTTTCGGTGTAGGCATATATCTTGCTATCAAGGTATATGGTTGACCAGCGGAGGGAGGAAGGGGGTGGATTTCTTAGAAAGTCTCTCTCGGACATTGAGTATTGTTGTTCGGGCAGATCCTTGCGTGGTTGTAGTATGACAACGATGGCCATAAGTTCTCCTACAATTTCAGCTTTTCTAGCTTTTCTCCCACTTCTGGTGCCTTCGACTACCCGAAATCCCAGCCTCCCAGCTGTCTTGGTTACTGAGATGAAAGTGGGTGACAAAATGCACTCGCTCCCGAATACACACACACACACACACACACACGCTATAGCGCTGCACAGCAAAAACGCATAAAAATGGGTATATTTATGGTCGAGGAGTGTCAAACCGATTGTGGCACTTATTTTCTTTATCAAAAGCTTTAGTAGAGCACTGCTATTCTTAAGCTCCAGAACTTCAAGTCAGTCATGTGAAGTGGTTTTTTCAGCTTTTTTTGTAACTCAGCCAAGAGGAAATACAATGACAAATAAGTTCATATTTCACTTTTACTAAGCCTCCAGTAATTTCTCATTATAATTTCAAATCGTCATGCGTTTCTGTTATAAAATGGTGAGGGCAGTGCATTATACAAACGCGCGCAACTCATAGTAATAATGTTCCGATTTGTTTGGTTGTTTTAATGGTCAAAACTGTGGAGTTCTGGGACGCCAGTGTGAATCCGCACTAATAATCATTGGGTGGGTGGACACTGTGGTTGATTAGGTAGCCATTAATTATTGGTTACTTGTTGCCCAGACTACATATTCCCGTAAAAATAAGCATAGCTCCTAGCTGCAAATACTTTTCCTTATCTCTTGTGTTTATTCCAGTAAATCCAATAAACCCACGATCTTTGACATGTTGTTTCACAACTTACTGTTTCGCGCCATTCCAGTCGCTAAGCCTGCTGTTCAGCCTGTCTTCTTGCTTTTCCAACCCTCCACATTCTTCATGCCCTATTATGATTTACAGCTTTATTGAACATTTCTTTTAAAATGGCCTTGCGTCCTTGTTTCTTTAAGTGAAGTAGTTATAATTCCAAACGCCGCTTTCTTCTTGTGCCTTCCCACAAAATTCTTGGTAAATTTGAAGTCCAAAACTTCGAATTTCTATTCTAAGCTGCTTTGACGCTATACTGCCAGTCAGAACGCAGGCATCAAACCAAGGCTTTAAAGCAGATTAGTGGCCGGCATATTTTTAAAATGGTTATTTAACTGTTTCAAGTGCAAGGAATCAAATTTTCAAGCAGAAAAAAGAACACAAGATCCGGAACTAAGGCGTCAGAGACTTTAGCTGAAAGTCGCATGGAGTCTAAGACTATCGGGGCATTTTACACCAGAATCATGATGAAAACTTGTTGGGGAAAAGAGAGAATAAGAACAGCAAGGAACACCTCAAATCAGAATAGCGTAGCGTAGCTGCTCATGATGATCGATGTCGCTCAACGATATTAAGAGGTTCACGCGAACAGTCTGGTCAGTTTAATTAATGTCGCACACAGCCATGTATTCATCGGTTCGCATAATCGCATGACTGATTCTTTTTTTTCGTTTTCAGCTACACAGCGAAATGCATGAAACGCTGTGGGAGATGCATCGGACGCAGGATCAGTTCATTGCTCAGGTGGATTTACTTACACAAAAAATAATCGAACTCCAAAACACTTTGAATCGACAACAACCACAGCACCGGCAGCAACAGCAGCAACAACAACAAGAACAGCAACAACAACAACAACAACAACAGCAACAGCAACGATGGATGTCCAGCGTTGACACAGCGTTCAGTGTTGATTCCGCGGGAGCGCCGGCGCCAACACAACAACAACTAAGGTCGTTGCCAATGCCGCCATCAGTAATATCATTACCTGATAGAGCATCTGTCACCCCCGATACACCTTCAGGCAGCTCACAGTGCAGCATTCCTGATCATAGTTGTGTTAGGCTATGAAAATTCAAATTTTATTTTCCTATTTGATGATTTTTAAGGCATGATTTTGAGATGAATGCAAAGCATGAAAGGAAATTTTAAAATTTCGGTTCTGTTTTTCTAATTCATATTTCATAATGAACTTTGGAATGTTTGGCCTTCAATCTGCCACATGGGCTCGTTTTTGAACAAGTGTGTAAGAGAGAAATATTTCCTATTTCTGCTTGTAACTGCGAGTTTAATAGCGTTCTGTTTTCTCTGGTAACGCCTTGTCTTCCTTTCTGGAGACATCTATGGAAGCAGTAAGCAGTGTTTACAGCAATTTTTATTTTTGCAAATGAAGCTTATGAGTTTTCAAGGTCTGACCTGTAACTTCTCAGCTACCTCCTCCTCTCCTTTACTCATTACAAGCTCGGTTTGAAACTCGATTAGAGGAGTTTGAATTTAATCAATTGAAAGAAAGAATCGTGTTTTTTTAGTCTTTGCTCATGAAATTGCATGGCATTTTCATAAATGATTAATTTTCAACTTTTCACTTCTCTCTTTGTTTTCGAGATGACATCGTTTCTCTTCAGAGTAATCTCTGAAACAGTTTGTAAGGTACCTATAAGTTACTGGATGGACAATGATTTTATGTAAAATAATAGAAGCTATGCGATTTTAGCTCTTATTTGCTTTGCAGCCTCCCTAAGGAGAAAAGTTCAGCAGAACAACAGCAAATTTTTCACTGATTGTGAAAATTGTGTGGCGAAAATTTTTCCGAAAAAAAAAAACGCTTTTGAACTGAGAAGGTGCGATACTTTTAGAACTTTCATTTAAAGCACATTAGTAAATTTTGTTCATTAACTGACACTTTATTGTTCCACCGTAGGATTCTGTTTAATTTAGGCCCTCCTGTACCCTAATCCTGCATCAGCTTGTGGACAACAGCAATTGCTATATACACGTGTCATCAGAGTCCACAGACCAGCCATTTTGCATTACGCAAGTATCATTCGTCTGCACTGCTTCAAAGCAATGTTTGCGAAAAAAATGGTGTAGAAGGCTTTTAATTTTTATATGAAGATTTTAATTAAAAAGAGCCGAGTTACGATTTTAAGGAATGATTTAGAAGTGGAATGGAAAAGGAGGTGGGAAAACCAGTCTGACAGATACTCACATCCCTCCTTTTCCATTTAGGACGTTCCCTGGGTTTATATTATTTTTCGCCAATTTCATATTTACACAGGCTCAAATTTCGACCAACTAAAGCATTGTTCTGAGACAGGCATAATGTAATGGCGACAGAGAACCAACGCCTTCTACTTTTACGATGCAGATGAGTATAACTTATTAGGATGACGAAGAGTGCCAGAAGGGTGTGGTATGAATGAAGATGTTAAGTTATTCCGGCATCTGACTGTTAGAAGCAGTGATAAGTTCGTATAAATCCTTATCTTTTTTTTCATCATTGCTACTGACAACTTTACTTGTCCGACTTGTGCTTTTTTCAACGCAGACACGACTCTGCTTAATTTTTTTTCAAATCATGGCATAGTTGATCAGTTATTATTGCCCCTTTTACGAAACCACTTGTTTTAAGTTTCATGATCCTCACCCATACTGCTACCCTTGGTGGTATCCCTTGTCTCTTTTTATTACCTGCTTGAAGTTTTCTATGTCGTCTACTGAGGGAAGTATTTGCCCAACAATTACAACTTCCTTTCACGTTTCTTGATTCGAAATAATTTCACATCAGATCTCTCTTTTGTCGCTGTACTCTGTTGCGCTAACCGATTTCATTACAAACGATTCAGCCGTGATATTTTTTACATTTTCGCTCGCACAATTTTCTGAAACATGCAGTTTATATTTTTTACGCACTTTCCTTGGATTGGGGGATCCATTTTTAGACTGATTTGTGACTCGAAATGTTAAGTAATCAAAGAGTGATTCATTCCTGAAATCAAGCTGCTTTCCGTTCACCTGTTCATACGAAATGGAGTAGCTAGAATCATTCAGTACTGTAGGTTCAGGCGCTATGATGCAGCCATTTTGAAGCTTGGGCAGGCAGAGTTCTTGATTGTAAAATATACAAAAAGGAGGGGAACAGAGCGATATGTTTGTTCTGATGCTTACCGTGCTTCCCTCTTTCTTCTCCAGTTGTATCCATTTACTGCGACGAAAATGCGCACTGATCCAAATTGTTCCCATGTAGATTGGGAAGCTTAAGTGAAGATGACCCTCAAAAGCAGTTTCAAAACAGCGCTGGCTGGATGCCATACAAGGGCAACATATACAAAAAATAGCGCAAAAAACTATTCATTCCCAGACGGGAATTCAAGAATAAGGGAGATGTTAAGTTGGTCTACAGCATTAATGAAGTAGACGGGCAATAACCTAGGTGACGAGGCACTTGACATGTCGGTGCAACTATGCGCTTTTGCATGATTTCATTCTATACTGCTGGGGTATTACTGCAATGTTGCAATTTGAACATTTGATGCGTCTGTACGCAGATCCCTTGTCTAGGCTGAACCTCGTTTTGCGCTTTACGGCTCGCACATGAACAGCAAACATTCTCAGAACAACACTGCTTTCTATCATTCTGGTTGCCAAGTTATTTGGATGTCAACAGTGCGCAGGACGTGCTTAACGCTCAAACTGAAATATTTCGGTCCCGTATGGGCACGGGATAATCTCGTAAAGCTTCAGCTCCGTAGCACTTTTGGTTGGCGAAACCTCTTCTTTTTACGTGAAATTTTTAAGCATGATATAGGCGTATTCCAAACCTAATTTTGCGCCTGTTGTACTTATGCAAAACAAATATTCTCGTCAGGACATTCCAATTAAGTTAGCTCTAGAGCAGGCATTTTGCCAGAAATTGTGCAACTGCATCTTTGCTGCATTCGTACACGAGATATGTGCCTGCATTAAAACCGAATTTGGAATTTTTAGCTCACACAAGGATATAGAATATTCCCGCGAAATTTCAGTTTTCTATCTTGTTTTTTTCGCCGAAAAATTTACATGTTTTATTTTAGGTGCTATTGTGTAAGAACCAGGTGCATGCGATTGATAATTTTAAAACGAGAGAGTCACACGTGGGGTGGACACATGCTCTTGAAATTCCAGTTTCCTACCTTCTATGATTTTCGAGTTAGAAGTGGCAGAATGTGCGAACACACAAACAGCATCTTGCCAATATTTTTGCGTTTGCATAATATGCGACCCAGGCTAGAATGCACCAGGCTTGCTGGTGTGATCATGAGTTTTTACCCCAGGCTTGAAGTATCCAGGTCGTTAACTGCATGAATAGTTGTTGCTTTACACTCACTAGCGTAAGTCATCGCAAATTTTGCGTAAAGGAACAATTTCCGTCTAACAGTCATTCTTTGAAAATGATCTAGTTGTCTAGTGAGCAATTTTCCCGTCAAAACTTTTAAGTGCCCACACGTGAGAGCCGTGCATAGCTGGAAGCTGAGCTTGAAATATTTAAGTTGTACTTGGACAGCAAACAATCCCCTAAAATTTCAGCTTTCTAGCTTCTCCGGTTCCCGACTTCGTAGTTTTCCTGACAAAGTCTTCACGTGCCCGTATGTGAAAAATCTACGCGCCTAGGGGCTGAATTTGAAATTTTTAGCTCACACAAGCACAGAGAATATCCATGCAAGGTTTCACTTCCCGACGTTGTCTGATTTCCAAAATCGCTTCCCACCAAAAAAAATTGTATTTTTTTAAGATGTCCGTAAGCAGGACCCAGGCGTACGCGGATGATGGTATTAAAACGGGAGGATTGCACAGAGTGTGAGTACATACTCCCGAAGTTTCAGCTTTCTAGCTTTTCTGGTTTTTGAGTTGAAAGTGGATGACAAAAAGTGTGAACACTCAGGCACACACATAGACAGCCTTTTGTCAATGTGCGTTTTTGCATTTCCATATGTGCAGAAATGCATAAAAACATACAAAAAAGAAAAGGAATGAAATTAAAAAATAAGTTCAAAGGGCTTGCTAAATACTGAACTGTAATTAGTACAGTGAATAAAAATACTGGATTGTAACTGAATTTTTTTTTTTAAATAGTAATTGTTCACACGTTCTTAGAAACAATAACTGTACGTGCAGTCTGATTCTCGCCCTGCAGGACTGGAAGGAGGAAGAGGCAGGGAATGGTGAAAGAGCCGAATGAAGGAGGGAAGTGTTCGGCTTTATCATTTCAGTGTTTTTATCGTGATATAAATTGATTTAGATCGTTCGAAATATTTTCATACATCAGCACTTTCGTTATGTTTGACCAAAAAATTTTTTTCAGATCTGTGATTAATTCTCTCTTGCTCGTTAATTTGCGTATAAATATCAGTGTTCTTACTTTCTTATATGTTGCGAACTCTTCTGGTTGTATTAAGTTCTTTTTTTTTTTCAAGAAATTCTTGAATACGGGCAATAAATGTTTCGTGTTTCTAGCTACGATCTTCTATTGCAGTTGCAGCACTGACATCGCTGCTAAACTATGTCTTCATTATTTCCCCGAGGACATCGTTGTTCCAAGAGTATTATTTCTCGGATTTTGAGTGCATAGACTTTTCCATGAATTTTTAGCAAGTTTTCCGATGACCACTATGAAAATATTTTCCCTTTTAATTAAACGCTGAGTATCTGCCTACAAAAGCACGTACACAATAATCGAAAAGCAGCGTAAAACTTAGCGCTCTCTAAATTTTTGATAGGAAGGGGCAAATAGCTGCGGTGCTTCTAGCCCTTACGAAAGAAATCGTGGCAGACTTTCCTAATTCATTTATTTTTTCAACACTATACAGCCATATATTCTACAATATCCCCCAACAGCTGATACGGTGCTGCAGATATCAGTAGAGTGCACAGGTTCTTTTTTCTGGTTTAATCGCCTCCATCATATGTCATGACAGCGACGTACTATAACATTTGTTCGGTAGCCCAAAGTCGAGAGTCAATCCTTTGCCGCATCTGCCTTCTATAAGGACACCCGGGAAGTGACCTGAGTGTTAGCAAGTACCAACGAAAAC